ACAGCAGGGAAGCCTGTGCTGTTCTTTTAGGTGCTTAACATGTTTAAACCCATTTGATCCTTACAACCACCCTATTTTACTGATAAGATCACTTTAGCACAGAGAGGTTAAGCCACTTGCCCCAAATCACACAGCTTGGAACTGATGAAGCCAGGACTTGGACCCAGATAATCTGTGCTCTTGACCCCTACCTTATGCTGCCTCACCAGGCAGTGGAAATAGTTGCCTGTGAGCCCTGCCATCTTCCTGCCATGCTCCAAGGAACTATAACAACTGGTTGTTTATGAACAACGTGGTACAGAGTCAATGCCCAGAATAGCCCCTGGCACAGAGAGGCATACCATAAATATTTGTTGAATGTATGAAAAACAGATTATCCCCATGTAGTCTGGAAGCCAAGCCTGCAAATTGGGGGAAGCGCACTCAGTCCTTGGAGCTCTCCCTTCGCCCTTATTTCCCACAGTGTCTTTGCATTCCCCTCTCCCAGTCCAGTTTCCCCATCCTAGCAACAGTACTAAGGCCCTTTGCTTACAGGATTCCCGGGGGTCTGTTGTGTCAACAGGCGTCACTACCCAACAGCATGCATTTCTAAAGTTACCCCTTCTACTTCCAAATAGCAGGCTGGAAAAAAAATTGGCAATCCTCCACGTGACGAACGGACTTGTCAAGTTGCTTCTTCAAATCTTTCCTTTTGCTGCCGTTGCTTGAGTAAACAAACAGCCTTTCCTTGGCTCAGGAATACTCCAGAGCTCTGGGTCTATTTTAAAACAATCTCCAAACAGTCGCAGCAACTTTCCAGTCCTAAAAAATACACTTTATCAAGAGCTAAAGCGGTTCACCATTAAAAAAGAGAAATTCCTCTGACCTTACCTCTTAAATATGCCCCATCTCTCTGGACCACCGCTCACTGGCCATGCCAATAAAGAGGTTTGACCAACATGGCTAGATCATGACCAGAGTGTCTTGCCAAGTCACCCACTCTTGGAATGAGCTTCTTGGGAGCAGTGTGACTGCAGGTGAATGCTGGGAAGTAGACCAAAGGTCATCCCCATGGCATTAGGAATCAAATTTCAAACAACTGCCAGGCTGCCAAATATGGAGGAGGAACACATGTTCTGTGCTAGGCCGGTGGGCTGCCCATCTTCCCTGTCAAGGGAAGGCAAACACTAAGACCAGTTCTGCTAGACCAGCCCGCGCACTTCTACCTCCCAAGCTCCCCTAGTAGGCACTTGGTCAGACCAAGAAGGGGGAGGCCCCAGGGTGGAATTTTAGGCTTCCCCAAATGGAACAATTTCTCATGTGACACTGTGTGATATGGTAGAAAATAATGAACAAGCCTTGGAGTCAGAGAGAGCTGGGTTTGAATCCTCACTTTTCCCTTAAAGGATGGAGAAAATAAGAGAATCAAGTTTGCAGTGGGAGTTTTGTGATTCTGCCTCATGTCCAGGAAGGGCTAAGTCTCTGTTCTAGGTTGACACAGAAGATTAAGAAAGATGTGATGTCAGATACTAACTTTAGAGGAAGCTGGGAGAAGAGTAATGGGAATTCTCTGTACTATCTTTGCAACTTTTGTGTAAATCTGAAAACACTCCCAAATTAAGAGTTTAATTAAAATAAAAGAACTGTGGTTCCTACTCTCATGGAACTTACAGTTTAGTGAATAAATAATATCTCTCTTCACTTCCTCAAAAGCATCTGCATCAAAAGTGGTAGGAATTACCCTCAAAGGACCCAGGAACCTCAGAGATGCCAGAGTTGGCGTGTTCTGACATCTTTAGTTCGTGGGGAAAGGAAAACCTTTCATACTTCAAAAATGCTGCTTCCTATTAACGTCTTGTATGTGTTTAATATTTTAGAAGCAATACAGTTTAGAG